ATGCGAAGGCCGATCATCTAGCGTTTCATAACCAAAGAACAAACCTTGAATCAAGTAAGCACAGGTGTGACCGCAGTATGTAACAACATAGAGAAGATCGCAGGTCAGATGGAACCACAAACAGATCGCAAAAGTCAAATCGCAAGATGAAATTGATTCGCGTTGTGAGACCCTGAGGCTTGTTCAAGTTGCGAAAGCAAAGCAAAGAGTGAGATCAAGTCGCGATATGGATTTTAATTGCGATCAAATCACAAGTCTTCTCTGTCAGTTGGAATCAAGTCACGAAGGTGAGTCTACTGTCTTTGACAATTCACGATAGTACTATTCGAACAGAAAAACTACAACTCTTATTGGTGAATGGAAGCTCGGTTAGGAACTGATGAACACTTTTCTCAAGTTGACTGAGAGGTAAGGTACTCAATTAAGATGGGGAGAAAAAGACTAGGTGATGTGGAGTACAAAAAACTCAAGGAATGCTAAATTCAAAGAAGTAATGATATTTGGACATTGGCATTATGTCAAAAAGAAATTGATAGGAATCTTATATAATTAAGCTTATAGTATTATTAGTCTTATTTTATAATTATGCTTATGTTTTCTAGGATTTTAAGCTTAGGGGTATTTTAGTAATTTGCATAATTTCCGATTATGTGTTGTGCGAGCCCATGGGTCATCTTGTTGGTCAAGTTATTTAATTGAGTTTTATTTATATTTCTTTTTTGGTCTTAAATTAATTTTAGAAGTCCAAGATATTATGATAGTTTTCCTTTTTTGGTTATAGCTGGTTTAGGAAGTCTCATAATTCTATATAAAATCATATAATAACTATAATTCAATAGAGTTGATATTTTATCAAAAGTTGAGAGTTTTGAAGCTTCTTTATGGATTGTGTGTGCAATCAAACCCTAGGTGTGATGCCTAAGGGATTCTAGGAGTGATTCCTAGATCAATCTTTTTCTCTTCTTTATCTTTCTTTCTTCAATTCCTGTAGCTTGTTCATAGCACCCTAAACAGTGTAAAATCAGCCCCAAAAGCCTATTGTTGTGGCTATCCCTAATCGTCCTGCATCAGTTTGGTATCAGAGCAAAAGATCCTATTATTAGAGCAAGCTATAAAACATGTCAATTCGTTGTGGAAGATCTTTTGTCGTAGGGATTTTTTTTGAGAACCAAAGGGATCAAGTTTCTTTAAAAATTGTGGAACTTGATAATTTTAGTCAACGGCTTAATGCTTTGGAGAGCTGACCAACTCAGGACAAGGTGATAAACACTCAAATTATCAAGGATAAAGAGAGTTTGATTGATGAATCAAAATCACCCCAAACAACATCAAGGTTGAAGAAGGTTTTTACTCACAACTCTTTGTGTTCTAAGGTAGAATTAGAGGACCAAGATCAAAATCAACCCAAGGTGGAAGATGACCAGATTTTCAAGGTTGGTGAGGTCTTTATTCATGATTCAAAAGCACCCCAACAAGTTCCGATTATTATTCCCAAAGAGGCTAAAGTCCAAAGCAATGAATTGGATGCTACAATAATTGTAAGGACTCAAGAACTAAAGCCACCAACTACAAGTCCTAAGCCAAAAGGGCCTTTGAAGCCAGACGTTGAAAAGTTAGTATCAAAATTTTCTAATTTAGCACCAATACAGTCCTATGATGAGCCCCCACCCATGCATAACATCCAACATACTTCAGGTCATATATAAGAGTCTAAATTGCTTAACCTTGCAACATATGAGTCAAATTTAAATCAATATATCATGTCCCACTCAGTGACAAGTCATGATTCCATTGAAGAAAAGGGCAAGATTGAATCACATGATGACATTTTGTTTGAAGGACAAGGTAAGAGCATGGAAGCCAAAATGGTTGATATGACAGGAAGTATTCGAATCGAGCAAAATTAGAGTGTCATCAATCCGAAAGATATTAGGATGTATGGGAAAAATTTTGCAACACAAGGTTTAGACCATTTCAAGGATGTATCTCTTTCTTTCTTTCTTCTGTTGATTTTATCATTCCGGAGAAGTTCAACTTTGCAATTGAAAGTAGGTCATTGTTCTCCTTACTACCCCAATGGAGAAGAAAAAGTGATGTACATTTTTATATGAAGACTTGGGTGCGATTCCAATGCTTTGGATTCTTATATTTCAACACTTCAAAACTCGAGATCGAGTTTTTTCCAACCAAGGGAGAAGGATGTGGAGTATAAAAAGCTCAAGGAATGCTAAATTCAAAGAAGTAATGATATTTGGACATTAGCATTATGTCAAAGAGAAATTGATAGGAATCTTATATAATTAAGTTTATAGTATTATTAGAGTCTTATTTTATAATTATATTTATGTTTTCTAGGATTTTAAGCTTAGGGGTATTTTAGTAATTTGCATAATTTCCGAATATGTGTTGTGTGGGTCGCCCATGGGTCGTCTTGTTGGTCAAGTTATTTAATTGGGTTTTATTTATGTTTCTTTTTAAGTCTTAAATTAATTTTAGAAGTCCAAGATATTATGATAGTTTTCCTTTTTTGGTTATAATCGGTTTAGGAAGTCTCCTAATTCTATATAAGGTCATGTCATAGAGTTGACATTTTATAAAAAATTGAGAGTTTTGAAGTCTCTTTATGGACTGTGTGATGCAATCAAACCCTATGTGTGATACCTAAGGGATTCTAGGAGTGATTCCCAGATCTATCTTTTTCTTTCTTTCTTCAATTCCTGCAGTCTGTTCACATCACCCTAAACAGTCCCTAAAAAGTGTAAAATCAGCCCCAAAAGCCTATTGTAGTGGCTGTCCTTAATCATCCTGCATCACCAGGGTTTGCCGGAGACCAAATTGAACTCAAACTCCAATATCATATGAGACAGCCTCCACAACTGTTGAACAATCAATGAATCACTCATATCTAAAATCAAAATAGGATCCAACTGTTGCACTGATACCAAAATGATGAAACCAAAGAAGATAGATTTCATTAGAGAGAAAATCTCATACAACATCAAAATATCATAAAATTGCCTCCCAAAGACTCTAACCACCTATTTATAGGCTTAAATGCCAAGCAACCTAATCATAACAACCACACTAACCTTGTTACATCATTGTTTTAGTAGGTGAACCCAGAATGATAGATGTAGGCAATTTTTTACAAGTTATTCGCTTAGCTGGGTTGGGCAGATCATGCAATGGTAGATGAAGCCTCAGTTTTCAGATCTTTACTGCTTTCTCTTCACAGTCTTTTCCATCTTATCAGCCTTTTGTAGATTAGTTGTTTCTTGGTCAATGCAAGTTGGTTTGTTTATGCTCAGATGAACATGGCTATGGACGCTTTAGTGCCTTCCAGTGAATTTCTTCTCCTCTTAAAAAGTATATTAAAATTAATTATGGTTTGTCTAATAAAAGAACTTTCCTATGCACCCTAACAAAGAAACGACAGGAAGTTTCTCGTAGCAGGGTTGCATGGCAAAGCATCCAAATAAACAAATAAAAAATAAGTACCATTTTCTGTCAAAGGTAACCAAATAGGGATGAGCATGGTCTGTAAACAACTATGTATCTCCTTTCTGTGAGAATATATTAGTGTATATATTGCATATATTTGCTTGTTGATGAATTTGGAGTGCATTCTTGTTGAATTGTTTGATTCTCTTTGTTACTTTTCGATTTTGATAATCTCTTAAGTTGCGAATTGATCGAAGTATAGATGTGTCTCAGTGTGAATTGATGAAAGTATTAATGGATTTGATATTCTATAGCAATTGCTTTTAGGTTTTCTGATAAGTCTCAATCATTGAATCTTCTCTAATCTTCTGAATTTATGTTATTTTTAAAGATACACATGAATATGGTATATATATATACATATGAAGAGACTGGGACTAATGGACATATGGCTTAAAAATAAGCTCACATCATTGAATTGTGTTGTTAAATTGGAAGTCTCTGGATATTTTGTGGTTTCTGATTTATCTAAGCTTTCTACGTTTCAGAAAAGCATACCAACTCTTTTGAAGGATGTAAACTTGTAGTGATTTTACTTCTAATCAATCACAACAGTGGAAGAGATGCCGAACCTACCCACGGTAATATTTCTTATTAATGCAATAGTTCTTCAAAGAAAAATTTATAAATTCTCAGGGTAATTTGAATGAAAATATAGCGAGATCCACTGTTTGAATTGAACCTTTGCTCCTTCCTATGAGAATATATTAGTGTATATATTGCATATATTCCGAGATTGTGTAAATATTCTGTGTAATTAAGCATTATTCATATTTCCTTTTTTAGTCTTAGGGTTAGAGTTCTATATAAGATGATGTACTCTTTGTATTACAACACATTGAAATATACAAGTTATTCTTCAGAAAGTTAAACTTCCAACGTCTAGTTCTTTGCCCAAACCATTAGAATTTCAAAACCCCATCACAACAAGGCTTACTATGAGGAGCAATGCCCTATTTCCCATACGCAGTCCAGTTAAAATAAATTACATTTGTTTTGTATTTGCCTATTTTAAGGAAACTAAAGAAAAATATAAACAAAGAAGCAAATGATTAGCTAATTGATTTAAGAACAGCTAGCTAATCTATAGCTGACCAAATCTAAATGCCTCCCTAGCAATCTACAAATACCTGAATTTAGAGGGCTAGTGTACCAGTGTAAGCATTAAAATTCCATTCTTATTTACCACCATGGCATATAAACCTGAATCTCTGTACTTTTCCAAATTTATTGATCTTTCTAAAAAGATACATCTGCAGCACATAAGTTGGATAACAAAGCTAAAATTTGCAATCAAACAATAGGGGTTTAGGAGATATAATTGACTGAATGAAATCCACCACCAGAGAAAAACATCTTTCTCTTCCAAACCAATAATTCCATGAATAAATAGAAAGAGGACAGGACATCAATGAATTTGAACAGGAAGTTACCAACAAAACCAATCAGGAACTGTGAATCATTTTAATACATGTAGAAGGGAGATAATGTATACATACCCAAGGCTGAGGACCATAGGTTGCCATCATTCCCGCATAATATGGATCCAAATATGGATTTGATGCACAAGCCTGCAAGAGTTACAAGAACACTAGGAATGCTTTCTGTTTCAAAGTCATGCCAGTATGAGTTCTCTAATTTTATACACTCAGTTTACAAATAAAGAAATCATCAATACAGCTCTCGCATCTATGCAGGTGAAGAAAAGCTGGAAAATCAGACTTACAATTGAGTGTCCAACAAGTTCAAGCTGATGAGGCTGTGTAAGGCTTTCATTAATCATTGGACGTATGGCTGATGTTCGATTCTGGAAATTCTGGTGACCTTGTCCATAATTTCCATCTATCCATGAAAAAAGGCCACCATTAGGATCACATTAAAAAAACTTCCTACTGCCAAGCCTACCGAAGGAATTACAGGGGCAAAAGTACACAAATTTACTTCAATATAGAGGATATCTGCAATAACCAAAACCAAACTATGCCTCGTGTCTCACTCAGATGGGATCATCTCTTAGTTTTGCATTGGGGGGTCTTGGTCAATGCAAGTTGGTTTGTTTATGCTCAGATGAACATGGCTATAGCCCCAACAGAAGCTTGTACATATTTAATATATTAAAGATATAAATATATTCTAACAAATATCTTTTCTGCTTTGTGATGTGTGAACATATGAATAAATATTAAAGACTAATGTCAACTGAAAATTGTCATTGTTAAGTATAAATAAATATAAATAGAAATAGAAATTATTAAAATAATTTGAGTTGTTTTACCTTTGTTTCTCTGAGATTTGTATGTTTGAGAAGTTATCTCGGTTGGTAGTAAGTTTTTTCCTTGACACGAATAAGTTTCTTACTTAGAAGCACGAATCAAGTTTGGTAAGAAACATCACCTCAGTTGGAGTTTCCTACTACTAAGGGTTGGCTACATAAATCCTTTTCCATCATTCCACTCCAAGGGCTATATGCTATTGCTCAATTAATTTAAACAAATTAATATTCTTTTTTAATACCACAGCCCATATCCATTTAGGTCTTTCCCTCCTAACATTTCCATTTATGATGAGTGCTGTTATTAGCACCTACCAAAATTCTTTAGACCCCCCATTTCTTTGGACCCCAACCCTAAACTCTAAATTTTAATAATATTTTTTTAGACACCCCACTTATTACCAAATCTACCCATATTCATAATATTTTCACAATAAAATGCACACCCACCTAATTTTTCATCCCTCTCCTTCCCTGACTCACTCAATCTTCAGAGTTTGGAGCTTTGGTCCAGTACAGTTCATCCGACCTCTCCATTGCGTAAGGATGGTAATTCACTCTCATACCCTTCACTACTGTCCCATCTGGCAACATGTTGTTCTTTAAAGCTTGCTTTCCGTCAATGGGGATGGGTGGGTAGAGTCTCATGGTCTCGCTCAGCGACGCGTGTGTGTAAACCATGTCTTTCACTTCTTCGTAGATCGGAGCTTCGGATTTCTCATTGATTTCTTTGAAAATCTCAGTTTCTACATCTGGATTTTTGGAGACAAGCCAGAAGAACCAGATTAAAGCTTTCATCTAAATGCCTTGAATTCAAGAATCTCGATAGGAGATCAGCAGATTCGAGTAATGATTTTGAATTTGTTCACCACTGTGTAGCCGAAAAAATGTATTTTACTCAGAACGGTTTTGTCGAACAATAATGGTCCTGTCAGCACTGTATGTCCGAACAAAATTTGTTCATCACTATGTAACTTGAATCCATTCCAATTCACAACTTAAAATAACATGAATTAAATCCATTCAAAATACATAACTTAAATCCATTCCAATTCACTTTTTTCCATTCTAAGTTGGTTTAACAAAGAAAATTACATAACTGACTATTTGCATTAATGTTCGGAACCTATGTATTGAACGAAAGGATTATGTTCAGTACTGTAATACCGAACATAATTCTAACAATCAGCAAACCAGTACCGAACAGCTCGAACGAAACAAGAACGACCGAAAACGACCGAGAATGTTAATACAAGACAGATAAACTTATTAATGGAACGTCGGTCTCACTAGAATTGTTGTTCTCGTCCTCCATTGCTCTACCAGTAAAATAAGTGATGAAGTATACGTTATACTTGAAGCAAAACTTTCAAGTTCAATAGCGTTGATGATGGTGATGAAGATGACACATTCAGGATTTAAGATGATTATGAAAAATAATAGATTTAGGGTTTATATTAGTTGGTTATGAAAAGTAATAGGTTTAGGGTTTACAAACATGGAATACGTATAGTTGGAATTGGAGGTGGGGGTGGGGGTGGGGGTGGGTGTCCAATATTATAGAGTATTAGTTCTTATTGATAGGTGGGTGTTCCATTTAATAATGTCTTTTAATGTAATTTTACTTTAGAGTATAATTGTAATAAAAAAAAAATTTATAAAATGGGGGGTCCAAAGAATTTTGGTAGGTGCTAATAGCAGCACTCTTTATGATATCACATCACTCACCTTACCGTTGCATCTGTAGGTCATTCTTGCACAACCAAACTACCTTAATCTGTTCTCTCTCAATTTATCTTCAATCGGTGCTACTCCAACTATTTCACAAATATATTCATTTTTAATTCTATCTGCCCTAGTCTACCACACATCCATCTAAACATCCACATCTCAGTTCACTCTTGTTATAAATAAGTTGTTTCAGAGTGGTCCAACATTATGTCTCAAAAAAGTATCATTGGCGTTATAGTTGTTCTATGAAATGTTCCTTTCAACTTTGTTGGTATCCGTCAATAAAATAATATGCCAGAAGCACCCCTCTACAAGAGCCAATCTAATTTGGTTCTATGGGTTGCATCATTTCCAACATTTCCATCCTTATTAATAATAGAACCTAGGTTACAAAACTGTTAACTCTTTGTTATCTCCTGATTTTTTATCATTCACTTTTCTACTGTTTCTACATCTATTTTTACTTAAGTTGTATTCTATATATTCAGTTTTAGTTCTCTTGATTTTAAACCCTTCTAGCTCTATTGCTTCTCTTCAGCTTCCTAATTTAGTATTAGTTCCTCCCTTAGTTTCATTTACTTGAACAATTAGTTTCATCCAGTAGAACAATATCAACTACGAACAACATACACCCTAGGACACGTCTTTGTAAAAGCATTTAGTTAATTCATCATGTTTTTACTTAAGTTGTATTCTATATATTCAGTTTTAGTTCTATTGATTTTAAACCCTTCTAAGTTCTAGCTCTACTCCTCTTCAGATTCCTAATTTAGGCCTAGTTTTGCAAGAGGCTTTTTGGCTTCTTTTTTTTTTTTGGCTAAAATTCACAAAAAGAAAAAATAGGATAAAATAGTCAAATAAGATAAAGGCCTCTTTTGGGAAGATGACTAAAAGTCAAAAGCTAGTTTTTAACCTATTTTGGATCACATCAACTCTCTACTTTTTTTACAAGTTTTTCAAAAAAAAATTAAAAAGTCAACTTTTAACCAACTTTCCAAAACAACCCAAAATGTCACATCAAACACATAATCATTTCACTTTTTCTCTAATAAATATCACATCCAATTATAAAAAAATCCAACCATCTTCCCAAATATAAAAATTTTAACCTATTAAAACAGCTAAAAACTAAAATAGCTAACTTTCCAAATGAGGCCTTAGTATTAATTCCTCCATTAATTTCATCCAGTAGAACAATATCAACTACAAACAACATACACCATAGGACACATCTTTCTAAAAGCATTTAGTTATTCACTAGTTTCTCTTGCATGTCATCTAATTGTAGTCACAACCACATCATCGATATCCTTTATCATGCAATATATCCGTTTGTTAGACCATATTTCTCTAACACCTACCATATGATATCCCTAGACACCCTATAATGAGTTTATACTAAATCTATAAAAACCATATGAATATCCCTCTTTTTCTCTCTATATTATTTTTTCTTAATCTTCTTAGTAAATATTTTGCTTCCATAGTTGATATACTGGGTATAAATTCAAATTGATTGTGTGACCTTGTAGTTGCAACTCTTAAATGATGTTCAATCACTTTCTCTTACAATTTCATTGTATGACTTATCAGCTTAATGCCACTATGCCATTATAGTTGTTGCAATTTTGAATATCTATTTATTTTTGTATATAGATACTAATATACTATTTCTACAATTGTTCCATCATTTTCCTAGTCAATGGTCAATAAATCCAACAAGGAATTACATGCAATAATTATATATATGCATGTGTTTGCGTGTGTGAGACCTAATACCTAAGTTAGTATTGTGTATATATCTCTTAAAGTTGAGTTTTACCATCATATCTTATATACTATATTCTTTGAAAAAAAGAAGCAACATCTACTTTTAAAATGATTGAAAAAGTGAACAAACAAGAACAAAATAGGTAAGAGTGCCATATCATCAAATGGGCGACCTAGTGCACAAAGCACCCGCTAAAGTGGGGTTTGCGGAGAGCAAGATGTATGTAGCCTTACCCCATTTCTAAAGAGGCTATTTTCATGACTTGAACTCGCACCACCAAGGAGCCTTACCATTGGGCCAAGCCACAAGGAGTTATATCTTCAAAATCTAGAACAAACAAGGTAATGGAAGGACTCGAGGACATTCAACTGTGGCCTTGGTCAATATTAGACTGTAATTCATCGTTTTTTCTTTTTTTCTTTTTGATAAAATCGTTGTGAGGAATAATAATGTTGATTCCCAAGACAGTAGCAAGGAATCTTCCAACACAGTCCACTTAGCCACTATTAGATGCCTAACATCATCCTGGTGATCAAGAAGCTATATTGACTTGATTTCCCTACTGAATCTTGAAAAACTTCAACAATTTCTCCTCTTTAAGTGCATTTGCTAACATGACTTTATGTACCACTTAAAACATAATTTTTACTTTGAAAAGGTCTGAATTTTCAACAAAACTTATCATTGAAAACGTCAATGAAAGGTAATTTCTTAAATAAAATTGAAAATGAAAAATAATCCCTAAATATTATTGCAACAGCAACTTAACAGCATCCACTGCTAAAAATTCCAGCACCAAAGTTTTCAAAGCTAAATTACCAATTTCGTCAAACAGCGTTGAATTGGATTTCCAATACCTTGGCTTTTGGAAACTTCATGCTACTAATCAACAATACCCTCATTGCTTGAATGCAAATCTACCATTAACACTTGGAAGCATTTTAGGTGAGTGGCTCTTTTTAAAGGAATTTTGAGTCAATTGAAGAGAGAGAGAGAGAGAGAGAGAGAGAGAAGAAGAAGAAACCCCTAAACTTGCTTGAGATAAGTTCAAATAATTTAAAATATCTA